GACGGGGAATGTTTTCGGGAGTTTCGTAGACATAGAGGTTCTTCGGGATCATTTGTGGAATTGGAGCAATCTCTGTCCCAAGTTCACGCTCGATATTATATAAGTTGAAGCGATCCTCCCAACTGATGAGGTTGATTGCGAGACCGAGATGTCCAAATCGACCAGATCTACCAATACGATGAAGATAAGTTTCGGCGTTCTTAGGGAAGTCGAAGTTGATAACAACATTCACAGCTTGAATGTCAATACCACGAGTAAGCAAATCGGAGCAAACAAGATTGCGGCAAACACCATTTCGAAAGTCGTGGAAAACGCGGTTCCTGTTAGCTTGAATCATGCGAGCATGACTGTAGAAACATGAGTAGCCTAATTCGGTAATCTTCTTGGCGAGAAGTTCGACACGATTTGTAGAGTTGCAAAAGATGATTGACTGGTTGATTTGTAATTTTGAGAACAAAGTGTTGAGACAGTGCACTTTCTCTTTCTCTTCGACAAATGCATAAAACTGAGTAATACCACGCAGAGTAAGTTCGTCCATAAGATTAATTTCGTAGGGGTCGACCATGTTCTTATCCGAAAAGTCTTTGACCGTCATTGGAAATGTTGCGCTGAAGAGCATGATCTGTCGATCCTTTGGATGAAATTGAAGTAGTTGTTCGATGACGATAGTAAATTCAGGTGAGAGTAGTTTATCAGCTTCATCCATGACAAACATATTGCATTCACTAAGGTCGGCCACATTCTTCCCAGCTAAATCGAGTATTCTACCAGGTGTACCGACGATGATATGAACGGGCTCTTGGAGACGCAGAATATCATCTCGTAAGGTAGTACCACCAGTAGTGACCATGACGTTGATGCCGAGATGTTGACCAAGAGTTTTGCAGACTTGTGAAGTTTGAAGAGCTAGTTCTCGAGTAGGTACCAGGATAAGACATTGTACTTTAGTGTTTTTGGGGTTAATACGTTCGAGTGCAGGGATGACGAAGGCGGCAGTTTTACCGGTACCGTTCTTCGCTCTAGCCAGTATATCTCGACCTGTAAGGGCCACGGGGATTGCCTCTTCTTGGATTGGGGATGGCTTCTCGTAACCCATTTCGAAGATGCCCATTAACAGCTCTCGCTTGATAGAGAAATCTTCGAATTCGAGACCTTTGGTGGCGGTAACATCCTACATCAATACGTTAGCGACTCAACCGAATCATAGAGTAGACAAAACAATGTTCGAATACCTCTGTCTGTTGCCTCGTATCTTTCACTGGGATATTAAGACCAGCTTTCCAGTTGTCCGAGGAAACATTGTCACTATTTCCATATCAGTAACAATTAAAGATATCCAAGGAGGGATGATCATACTTGATCTTAGTAGCCGCTAGCTTGTTTGCCAGCTCATCAGCCATTGTATATGTTGTTTTTGTTGGGAGAGGGTATCTTTAAAATAAATGTATGAGATGTGGTGTTGGGGCGCGAAAATAAGGTCGCGTTCTATTGGAATTCGTCTTGGATCGTATGCAATTAATTCAGCATAAAATAGTATGACACTAGAGAAGGCCGATGGAAAGGAAGGCCGCAATGATGTTGATCTTGAAGGGTGAGAATATACGAGTTATTATCGAGTTGAGGGGTGATTATTGATCTCGAGGCAATTGTTGACTGTTTGTGATGTATTCGTGGTGGGGTTATTGAGTGGATGTATTTATGTTTTTTCTTGTCTGCAGGATTGTGCGCATGAATTGGATTGAGTATTGTAATTGAAGATCTTGTTTATGTAGAGATCCGAAGTTCTGTGGCGGTAGTTGTTATATGGTGGGTTATGAGTCGTGGGTGGTTGTGTGTTTATTTCGAATTCTTCAAGGGTTGATTTGGGTTGATTTGGGTTGAGTTGAGGTGAGGTGAGGTGAGGTGAGGTGGTTTGGATTGAAAGGAAGATCAGAGAAACTTTAAAGGTTTAGTGTGGCTCCTAAAAGCTTTCGGCAGGCGGGAGGGCTCAAGTGATTTTGGTTCGGCCCACGTGATGTGATGTTTTAAGATTGGGACTAATGAAGGGAGGAGGCTCGAGGAGGGGTTGAGAAGTACGGTACACAGGCTGGTATTATGCATTCACCTTATGATAATAATATCTACAAAGTATAAGTTATCGTAATTGATCAACAGGAATTACATGATTCTGCGCCCTCGTATTCTCAAGCCAATAGATAAAAGGTTCCAAGGTTGACAACATTCGAATTCGATACAATCACATACCTACCGGTAGAACACTGAATTCACCCACCTAGATATGGATTCACTCGATACACGTACAGATTAGACATGAGTAGTCTTGTTTTCTGAAGCAATCAATGGCGAAGAAATTCCAGACATGCAACAGATCAATGAGTTGCAAGTGATTTTCTGAAATGCCCAAACCAAGGCACATGTTGTTCCTGACGCAGCGAAACAAATGAGCAGTCTTAGAAGAATCTCATAGCTAGGCGTATCATAAGTAATACAAGGGGAAATCGCAACGTAACAGAGATCTTTCTACTTTCGCATCATAGTCATTCGGATTAATAATATTCATATTTCACTCATTTTCCACATGCCAAGTAAGTTACACCCATGTCAAAAGCACTACCAACCCACAACGCCAAAGACTGGGATGACATTCCCTAACATTAAAATGCCATCGCATCTGTATCTCGCTCCCTTTTAATTTTGACATCGCTTTCGGCTTTCATCAGAGCAGCGACAAATGATCTGAAGTAATCTACGTATGGTTTCAACCTTGTTTTCTCCCAATCTTGTATGCTTTTTCCATCCATATCCCCACCTTCAGGTGGAGTCCACTGATCGATCTCGCCTAGGAGTTCGGTCACGGTTGGTACAGCGAGAGGATCGAAGTCCCCTACATATCTGGTATCTATAGGAACACACACTCTTCCTGTGCCCGGGTGTACGACGAAAGGACTTTTGAGTAGATGGTTGAGATGTTTACTGACTTCAATATCGAGTCGAGGGTACGTGTATTCGAGAACTATATCTTGCTTCGCTTCCAGTAATGCTCTTGGATCCAAACCCTTGGTAGATTTTGCCAATGCATCAATATCAGCCCATTTCGACGTTGATGACCGTCCAGGAGCAGAGCTCCACTTTTTTCGTAAACTTTCATTCAATGTTCTATCAGGTAGAAGCTGTAATAACTTGTCGATTTTATCGTCTTCCTCCCACGGATCTTGATCATGAAGGATGTCGTTTTGGAAGTGACCTTTGAGTATATCAAGACTTCGTCTGCTTCATGTTAGTAAAGACAAAATGAAAGTATAAATGTACATACAATACATGCGGATGCAATGGTCTTTTTACATTAACCTTTTTCGCAGTTTGCGATCCACCTCGAATAACCTCTAGATACCCCGCGATAGCCCTCCTCTTCTGGTCGTCCATTTGCCTAGCTTTCTTGTCGCATACCCAAGCGTGAGCTCCTCTCCTTCCAGAGTATACCCACATGATATGTTTGAAACCAAAATCATCTCGTAGCGCAACATCAACCACTTTGATGGCCATCGTAATGAATTGCCAGCACTTGTTGCAGATATTTGCTTTGTCGCAGCACGTTCTGATCTCGTCATAATCTGTCAAATCGATATCGAAGCATAACTCCTTGGCTATTGGTCGAAACGCAGAAGACTTGCGAAGTGTTTTACGATCCCTGGGATTCGTACTATAAACTGGGCCAATTTCGAATCTGGACGGCATAAGACGAAGGACATCCTTACGAAGACTGAAGTTGTTAGCGTAAGTGAGCCTGAATGATACACCACCACTTACAGATCGGAGGTTGGGAATGCTTGGTATCGTAAGTATGCATCGTTTTGAAGGGTAAATGCAAATTCACGATGTCCAAAGTCGGTTGAAGGCGTTGGAGAATGATTAAGCCATTGAAATAAGTGGCGCCATGGGAAGAGTCTCTGATAAAAGGATCGCATAACTTCTGGATCTGATGCTCGTGATGCAGGACCTACATTTCTTGATATCTACTTAGCTTCTGAACCCGGAACACGGCTTTCGAAACTTACACTGGGGAAGCTGGCGCTTCAGGTGAACTCGACAGCTTTTCTTCTTTCGCATTTGTACTTGGGAATTCATCGTCAGACTCTGCATCTGTAAACAATTCTAATGAATTGGTCTCGTTTTCTGTAGCCGCCTGAGGTATCGCCTCGCCTTGTACTCCAGCATCTGCCATTGTAATATCTTCGTCATCATTCAGCTCAGCAACTTGCGTGTTGGCAGACGCATTCTCTGCTTCTTGACTCATTTGTGCGTCGTCCCGGCTCTCGTCGTTATCGGACATATTCTCTTGTGATTGTATCGAGGGTTCTTCGGGGGAGACAGAATGTGGCATAATGAGGTTCGTGTATGTATTCGCATTTCCCAATATTTAGTGGAGGTAGCTTAAGCCTTGAACCAAAAATCAATTTAAACATCCTACGCGTTCGGACGCGATCAGTCCGTCCCCTTTTCGCGATTATGCGCTAAGATAAGCTGATAAGGATCACCAGGATTGACGAATTTAGGAAGTGATCTCGAGGTAACCCACCTCCCGAATTCATACCACAAAAAGATGTGATGATTTGGAAACATTATCGAAACCTCGAAATTCTTATGAATCACTCTTGAAGATTCGAATATATCTTACTTGTATACTCAACGTAAGACTAATAACGAAATGCTATGACCGGCCTCCCTTAACACTCGACTTACCCATGGGGTTCGAAGGCAGTAGCCACCTTGATATTGAATGCAATGTTCGAAGGTACCCCTTTCCTTTCGACAATGTAATGAAAATAATCAAAAGATGGTACCACGAGAGAAGTGCAGTACTTGTGTTTTCTGCTTTTCAAATACTTTCCGCATCTCTGGTAAGGATCCGTACTTATATCAAACCACTTTTTGAAACCAAGAGATCCTAAAACTCAATAACATAGATATCTCCTTCCCATTGCTGAGTTGTGTGAGGCACAATGGACCTAAGTAATCATGGCAATGATTTACGGTAAATGAGATTTCTACCGCCCTGTTGCATTCTTGCTTACACAATCTCATCTACAGTTTCCCCTTCGCCAAGAGTTGGTCTCCATTCTATGTCAAATTTCCAAGCGAGCAATATCCAATAAAGTATAACGTCGAGAACAAACGTGTGAGTACTAAGAACACGTTTTTCTCCGAGTTGGGTTTGTACTCTACCCCTGATCAAGCTTATGGACTCGATGATTGTTTCCGACTTCCTCTACACTTGTTCCTGCGATGGTTGCAAGATGACCATATGGATACAACATTGAGCGAGGCTAGGAGGGAGCACAAACCCTTCTTCAACGACACCTGGGCAATTGTCGTCGTACACGTATGTCTACTTTGCGAGTGTTGGAACTATCCCCTTGCTTTCAATGCAGCAATGGATCATTTGATAAATCTGCGGGACTTTTCATTCATGGCCTCGAAACAAATCGAAGCCACTTACAAGACTACCTACGCTGGATCGGGTTTGCGTCGGTTGATCGCGGATATTCTCTCGATTGGAACGCTTCAAGATACAATCAGGCATTTAGGCATACTCCAAGATTCAATTGCCGAGCAAGTGTTTGAGGAGATTTCGGATGACATGTGGACACGTCAAGTTCCCGAACCATCGTTGTTTGATTCTGCTGGCAATGTTAGAAATGTTCAGTTGGCAGAATATCACATGGAGTTGTAGGAGAAGACAAAGCGTCCGTCACAGTTTTCAGTTCTTTTACTGTTTGTTTTGCGGATGCAGCGCGAGTCTGAAATTGAGGGACGGTCTGTGGTGCCAAGAGGTTTTGAAGCTTTCAACATGGCAAATAGTTATAGCTGGTACACATAGCATCCATGTAGCAAAATCAGCGTTTAAAAGCCGTGTGTCTCAACATCGAACCCGAATTTCACCGTTTGTAAAACGTTTGTACAACTCAATAAGCGGGGTAGCTTATGCATCCTCTCTGTGATATGCTTCATAGCTGAATAGTTCATTCATGCACACGTTCATTTACAGGAAGCCAAGTCACGCAAGTCATTTCATAGCTTACCAAAGCACCTATTCATCTCCCTACAACATAGAACCTCATACTTAATGTTGGAGGCTATTCATCTGGACTCTACTAGTTGTCTATCTTCCACTTGAGCCTTGAAAACTGAATTCCGTAATGACATAATCCAAATTCCCACTTCAAATATTACAGTCGTACCACTAACAATACGAAGTCTATGAGATTTACTCGTTCAACCAATACATAAGCGTCAGCAGAAGTGCGTTTGCGAAATCATAAACCAACTCGCGAAGCCGAAAGCACCTTGGAAATCTCCTTTGGCAAGTGACCATGACAAAGCTATGATGCCGCTTATTACTAGTGTCACTATGTCTATAAGAAAGATAATTTTTTAATTCGGACTTTCATCTATATGGATTCTCCATCCCAAAGCAACTGATGCATCTCCATTATCAAGTATGCTTGTACTGCATTTTCGTGGGACTTTCCTCATCCAGAAAAGAATGCTTGTAGGACCAGTACATTTTAGATGTGTAAGATAACATTCTCCGGAACAGAAACCTCTCCTTCACCAAGTGGACATGTATCGTATATCCAGTGGTCGTAATGAACCTCTATTTTGATTGACAGAATAAGTTACTTTTGCAAAATTCCGACACAGTGACTTTGCTCTAAATAGACCAGCCTTCGTAGTTAGCAGTTACGATGAAGATAATTCCTGGATGCCCGTACGAAAGATACTGATGCTGGCTTGATAAGCCAAAGTTTGGAGTGCATGCCACGCAGTTCAGAGTTCTTTTTCGGATACATTCGATGATGAGGTCGTCAAGTTTTGCTCCAACAAGATCAAGCTCGCTATACCCAGAAAAGAAAACCATGTATTAACCGTTCCGTTGTCATTTTTAACGGAATTTGAGCACACTTGAGTTTCAGCATGTACCCCGGGTATTATTTCCCATTATTTTTTTACATATACACAAACCACCTGAAAATTTAGCTCATCTAACAGGAAACTAAACAGCAGTTATGTTGCCAAAGCCATGTCAAAACACTAGGATAAATCATCCCGTAATTATTCCAGGATACCTCCGGTCATGAATTCATTCATGCTCTAATCAAGGGTGAAATCTTGAGGAATTCTAAAGGGGAGAAACCAAATCCAATCAGCTAATCTTACGATCTCTAGAGTTGATAGAATTCGTGTACCGTTTTGTACAGTAGGCATAAGGTCATCCATTATCAGATCTGAGATGAGAAATCGAGAGATATTTAGATCTATCTGGGCCCGGTGATTCACCTCTAGGTTGTCAATGACTCATTTATTCAAGGGTTAACCAAAATAAAAGAAGTAATAGCTCAATATGATAAAAAGAGTTCTTTTACGTTGATTGGAGTCAAAAAAATTGTATCTACTATCAATTTCTTATGGTTTAGATAGGATTTTGTAGTTGTGGCCCAGAAGTATGGATACTCAAATCTCCTGCACAACATTCCCGAGCAGATATTGTTCATTTGCTCAATTTAAGTACTGTAATTAACTACTACCATGCGGCATCAGCCAAAGACATGTATTTTTTGTCAAGGTTGTACACAGATGTTGAAGTGACAGAGGATTCTGTGTGTAAGATGACATTGAGATAAAATTTACAGTCAAACCCTAGTATCTAAATACCTAGATATTGTCTGTATTAGACGAAGCCTCTAGGCACATCTGGTTTGGTGTATTAGTAGATGTATGGAAATCACGGTTAAATACCTGCAAATTCATGCGTGCTATCCAACACTAGATATTGTCAACTCAAGCAAGGCATATCCTACCCAATCTTTTGCTATCGTTCGAGTCTATGATATAAAATCCACTTTGGTATTCCTAATTACGCAGATGCAAAAACTCCTACAACTGTCAAAGGAAAATCTCAAAATTTACCGAGAATTCCCGGAAAGGTCCAGAAACCAAACTTCCCAGAGCAACAATACGCCAGGTACCACCAAGAGTTTCTGGAGAATAGCCCCCGAATTCATATAACTCCCATTACTCCCGCTAAGAGATCGCCCATTTGTTGTCTCTTATCTCCTCTAACCTTCCTACGCTTGCTTGGTCGAGATCCTGAGCCACTAGCATCATTATCCGTTGTCTCATCGGACTGCTGTCGGATTCTGGTCCATGCGACAGGTATCTTTATACGCGTATAGACGTAACCCTTTGCGCCAACTCCGAGATTTTTGCTAGTATATTTGAGCGACCTATCACTGATTCCGCCATCGTAAAATGGCTGATGCAAATCCGCCCGCGATGGTGTATAGGATAGCTCTGGACCGATACGAAGAGAGGCAATTGGAATAGAGGATATGAGTTCGCCGGAGACCATAGGGACAAATTCGCCGACCTTTAGGCCAGCGGCACGCAAATCCTCGTCGTTTCGAAGCTCGCCAACTCGATTGAGAGAGGTGAGGGTACGGAATTCCCAAGTCTCAAGCTCGCGATATTCTTTGCGACTGATATAATCCACAGCTTCAAAGTGTGAGAGACCGGTTCTCTTGAGTTTGGCGCGGCCGGCAGGGGTTCTTTCCATCGCTCTTACTTGCTCTTCGGCTTGAAGATACGCGCTATTTCGTGCTGCGGAGGAAGATCCTCCTGTAAGTAAGGTTGGTACATCTGCTCGAGGTATCATTGTGATTTTGGCTTTATCCCACAAAGGCTTAGCAGTGGATCTACGGATTGGTCTGGCCTGTGATGATTGTTGTTAGTAATTGTTTTGTTGAGAAAGCATTTGCAAAGCACGTGCTCGAGCCAGTTTAGAGAAATTCAGAACACAAAGGTCCGTGCTCAGACCCTTACCGAGATTCTTTCAAGAGAAAAAGGGGTTCAAGTATTGAAAGGAAAAGCTTACAGGAAGTCCAAGACTTGCGCGCAGAGCCATAACATGCTTTACGCAGTCTGATTGCAATATCTCAAGTAATGCTCCATCAGGGTGTACTTCCCAGCCAAGTTTCTCGGCGTCGAGTTGTGTCAATCCATTGAAACCACAGTCCTTAACGTCGAAAACAGCTAAAGCAGGACAGTCTTTTAGGTATTGGAAACAACTGTTTGTGATTTCCAGAAAATTCCGAAGCTTTAAGATTCTCAGGACTTTGAATCCCTTTCCCTTCGCTGCTACTTCGCTCCAGGTTTTGATTACTCTGTCTCCGAAGCTCGTATCGAACTGCTTACCGGCAGTTCTTACATGATTACCATGCTTTGGATTAGAGATCTCGAGAGCTACTAAATTAACAAGTGCAGATAATTCGACCATGTTCGAGGTACTGAAAGCAGTGGTAATAGATAAGTGTACAAGAAAGTCGAAAGTGGCTGATTTGAGTGGCTTCGTGTAGACAGATAAGGACGGGACTGGCTCTGCAACAGAACACCTGTATCGAAATTGGTTCAAAAGGGCACCTTCTTGTCGATCAAGAGCTTTTGAAAAGGCTTTCCAAGTGTTAAAGCTGTTGACACATCTATACTCGAGGAATCAGCTAAAGTCAGTTCTTGTATGCAAGGTAGTTGTCAAGTATCTAGAATTATGTGCCCTAAATCAAGACTGTGTAGAATACTTGCAGCACTCCTCGATTCAAAAGTAGATTAGGAAAAAGGATATCAAAACTGACCTCTTGGAAAGTTCCCGCCAAAGGAACTCGAGCTGCATTGAAGGCATGTTCTTGATGCTTTCATAGGTAATACTACTCACATTTTTGACAATCGAATCGACTGATAGTTGAACTAGACGTGGCACACAAGCTTTTCGACGTTTAAATTGTGCGGTGATCGCTTCCTCAGCAGTGAACTCTTGATCGTCATCAGATTCTTCCCAGTTTGCTTCTAGAAGTTCCCTGAAGGTGTGTCAGATGCCGATTTTTATCTTGAATGGATACAAAAAGATGAGAGGGAGGGAGGCAGCTTACTCAAATTGAGAGTCCCAATGGTAATCAGAGACTTGGAGTTCCCGTAGAGTTGTTTCCTGGGATACTAGACCCGAATCTGGGTCAACTATCCGTCTGGGTCCATCTAGGACGCCACGCGGAAGAGTAGTAGATGGTTTAAGAAGACGAAGTCCGCGAGCGCGCTGGCTCCGCTCACGAAAGTAGCCATTCATTCTCGTGGTTAGTGACATGTTTGTGGTGTTTTTCCCTATAATGAGGGCTTTAGGTATGTAAACGACTGATGTCTGTAGCTATAGGAGGAGGCTTTTGAAAGTTGCAATTCCTAATTCGCAGGACACAGATAAAGGTCTTCTGCAATTTGCTAATTGAGATTGGCGCTTATGGCTGCAGACGAAGACTTAGAAGATTCCAGATCTTTGGGTCAATCGTTTAGTATAATGATTCTTATTGTGAAGAAGAATCGAATAGATCTGGATATAATTTGCGATTGTAGCATAATAAACCAAGTGTTTAGTTGGCAACTTCAGTGGTAGAACTATTCCTCGAGCCGATGAGATTGATGGGTGTGATACTATGAGGGAGATTCGATCGATCAAAGTTTTCCGTTACATGTAATGGCGATTGGGGGGACTTATGGAAGGAGAGGACCTTTGAATGATCGAGCTTGATCAATGAGCCTGTATTACAGTGGAAAAGAAATTTAGTGAACTCAGACCGCCGATACAAAAAGTGGAGATTGGACAGATTAGAATCCTAGAACTCTTGACTTCCAGGAGGTGTTCACTGCGAGTATTCAAAGTCCGAAGGTCTAGTGTCCAAGATTTAAAAACTGTCGAAGCAGAAGAGAACGGAACCGGTTATTACTGAGAAAACGGAAGAGGCGGCAATGAGGTGTCGATTGTAATGGCAATACAATTGAAATTGATGCCTCAGGAAATTAGACTTGCCTTGCCTCGCCTCCAGCCGTCTTCTAGAAATTCAGATGATTCGTATCACCCCATCCAGGTTCTCTATCATTTCATTTCCTAACTCACTCGAAAAGGATCTTTGAACACACGCGTGTTTAACGTGAAGTTTATGATGACTCAGCATCGCGGCTACCTTTTTCCGTCCCCGCCCCACCAAGCACTAACCAGCTCCGAACTACATTCCATAGAATCGAGCTTGCGAAAAGAAATTATATCAGCGTCAAGAAGTAGGTATCTTTCTTTCTTTGAGCTTCACCAAGTGGTTTGTTATGTCGTAAGAAATATGGTCGTTGTTTGCCAACTGGTGATCTACGAATGAACGACAAGAGCGGACCTTGCATGGATGAGATACACGTGCGAAAAGCAGTATTCCATTTTCTCTAAGCTCTTTATCGATGATTTAAGAACTTTTCCGACGAAGTGGGTGTATTTAACAAAATGCTCGGCATATATCTTGACTCTCTATAAAACATCTAGAAAGTTTTCTATCTCGCTTGACAAGATCTTTCGAACATGGTTGTGGTGTAGGTTCTGTTATCTGGAAGGTAGAGGTTGAGATATAGGGGCAGGATATGAGGTCTATATAGCACCCGATTTATTACAGTTTCTGATCACATGTGAGGAGGGTAGGCGGCCCGCCTCAATTCTATATGGCCATGTGATGATCGGATCATGGCGTCCAGATCGGTGATCATTTGCGAAATTGAGTCTTGAGATTGAGCCGACAACAATGAGTTCAAGCAATAGAGAGACATATTTGACTGACGCGATCGTTTTGATGACTTGCTTGAGTGTAAATTGAGCTAAGATCAATTCTTGGAGTATGAAAGGGTGATGTTGAAATTTGTAGTGTCGAGGACGAAAAACTGTGAGTGGGAAAGGGATGACCACTGATTTATGTAGCCTTACTTTTAATATTTCGACAAGAATGATACTGATGTTAGTAGAATACAATACTTGCAGGTGGCCTAGTTGGAGACCCACCTTGGTGGAGGTAGCATGTTGTCAGACGAAGAAGCCCTAAGGATTTTGTATCTTCTAAGTTCAAATGTTGAGAAAGAATAATATGCACTAAATGAATGCATTACACCTCATTTACGATAGTTTTTGGTGCTATACAGGTGAGGTTTGATGTTCATAGATGATTTCTATAGTAAACCAATGCTCTAAAATAACCCATTTCCAGCGTTCGTTGTTCAATCATTTAAGCTTCTCATCTCCATTTAGTCACATTCCTTGAACTCTTCCAAAGCAACGATGCTAAAACCCGTTCTTCAAATTCTCATATTTACTCCCCGGATACTGAATGCAATTCTTGCTTTGCTCCAAAATACCCAAAACGTTGACCACGTTGTGAATTAGAGACTTTTCTGGCTCTGCATGATCGGCAGAAGATTCCCACCACTGTTTCATTTGGCTTAGTGACATTATGGAAGCAGATAAGGCTTGAAACATACCATGGCACCACCGAGACCTCTTTGCTTGATGTAGTGAGCCTTTCTGCGGGCAACCTCGACTGTGTCGTACGATATGAGGGTTTTTGTATTTTCATTGTATGCTTCATGGTCTGTTAGCATTTCCTTCCTATCTCGCCGCAACGAAATATTCCCCCATAATGCTTTCCTACAAGCATTTTGCTTCCAAAATCAAGCAAGGGCATCAAATGTTGAAAAACGCAGGAAAATGAAAAGAATCAACCCACAATAGCTAGCACAGGTTTCCTCATCCACAATCTCCCTCGAACCTTCCAGTGGTAAATTTTTGAAATCATGCACGCCATTCTCCCAAGTACCCTCTCCCACTCCGTTAAACGGTTGTCCTAATCCATCAGTCCCCTGAAAGGCCCTCCCATAAATTGGCATCCCAAGTACAATTTTATGGCCATGTACTCCTCTCGCCTCATATGCCCTGACTGCATTTTCCGTATTATACGGCGTGGAACTTGGGTTATTTTGGCTGGCATGCACATTTGCTTGGTGTCCTGCAACACCGCCCCACGATCCCGCAAAATCGTATGCCATTAGGTTCCAGAAGTCGAGATATTGGTTCATGCCGTAAATATCCATGTTATTGTAATTTTGAGGACCGGCTGGACATGCTACCGTAAGTTCGAAATGGTGGGGCGTAGGGAGAGTATTTGAATAACGGTCCATGGCTTCCCTACATTCTCTCAACAAAAGAACGTAATCTCGTGCTTCTTCAGCGTTTTTGGGATATTCCCAATCGACATCAATTCCATCGAATCCCAAATTCCTTATCAAATCCACTGCACTCTCTGCGAACTTTCTCCTCCCACTCTCCGTTGAAGCTGGCTGCGCAAAATTGGATGAATAAGTCCAGCCACCAATACTAAGCAATATCTTCAGAGATCGATTCCGTGATTTGAGGATATTGAGTTGCTTCAAGCAACCGTATAAATTAGTACCGACGTCATTCCAAGAATCGCCTTCGAAATGAATATCAGTGTCGGCCCAACCGTCAGTCATATATACCTCGCCAGAATCTGGACGGACATTGGCGAAGGCGTAGAGAATATGGGTTAATTTCTCGGCAGGGAGATCTTGGGGGAAATGTTTGCGGCCGTAGATTGCCCACTGGGTGATGTTAGTATATGCCTTGCCACATCATCGTTATCATGTTGCCGTCTCTATCTATCCGTTCAAATCACGAGATCATCGTGGACACTTGTACAGCATCGCATTGTCGTCTCACCACCTCTTAAGATTTTGGAGCGAACCAGAAAGGTCATTCCGTTCCCATTGCCATCCTTCCGGGTCAGCCTTCGGGAAGGATCTCCAATCTTCATCCCGTGTCTTTGAACCGTCGAATCTCTCACCCACTCGGAACCTCACTACAGTCCCCCCAACAACCCATAAGAAAGGATGAGATAAGCCACTTACATTTACAAAATACGCCACGGCGCGATATCCATTGCCACCACCCATATTGTCTCCTAACCCTAGTTCTATTTGCTCTTCTCCGATAATTTCTAGGTCCCCTTTACTCTCCTCGCCCGATCTTAGATCAAGACCAGCAATTTCCCACGTTCCAGGTCCGTTCCGCAGCGTGATTAGTAGAGCGACAAAGAATGCAAATAAAGGGAGTGAGAATAGTAGGATCTTTATAACGTGCGCCACGTTGAATATCTATATTTCGTCTTGATGGGATGATGGATGCTTTTTATATGTAGATTAATTTGGATGCGGAGTACATTAAAGGGTCTTGGAATCAGCAGCTGATAGAAAGTGGCTGTGATTTTGTCGAATACATTTGGTTGGTGACAGATGTCCAGTACCGTGAAGTATCCATATCCAATCCCCGCAGGGCTGAGTGAAGCTATGACGAAAAGAATACAAGGGTTAGAGATATGAGGGGCAATTTTGTACACGTTGATGCGCATGTTTAGGATTTCTGGGCAATAACAATGCTTTATTTTACTTTACTCCAATGGTTCAGAGCAATTGTGAATATGATGTGCTTGTGAGTTCAGGAGTTTTCTTGGAATAATTTGTTTCGTTCGAGTCATTGATCGATTCTATGTATTTGAAGTTTCTGGCCCAAGCATTCTAGTCTTGCTGCGAGTGATACTCAGGTCTACAAAGCTATATTCGTCCGGCATACCCGTAAGTAAATGCTACCCCCCATTGCTCCTTACTCCGCTCACATAAGAACTCGAAAGCTTGGCGTGTATAGGAACGTATGTCTCGCAGCCTCGGATAAGTCCACATTTCCTCTCCACTGTATCCTGGCCTTCGTGGCGCCACAAATGAGCATCGTGGCTGACCTCGGGGAGCCGCTGTATTCATTTCTCCTTTCCTGTCGTGATCATAAAGATTTATCTCATTGCTCCTTTGGTAAATTCTTGGGCGGCTGATAGACCACCATCGATCTCCCTTTGATATCCTCGCTTGAGCAAACCTCTGGATTCGGCAACAATTTCCTATAAGTTTCTTCCTTCGGATCTTGTCTCTGTCTCAAGAAACTGTGTATTCGTTCCTCTCTACTCCCAAAAGTATATCTCGTCTCTTTTCTTCTCTGCCTCAAATCCTTACTCATCTTGTCATGCAGAGTATCTCTCTGTTCCAAGAATTTCGCCGAATAATTGTCTAACCTCGTCAATTGTCCCAATCCACCTACCGCAACAAAAATTGCGATTAACAAGACAAATGCACCGTTCGAGACGAATTGAGGTTTCTGTTCTCCTTTGACATCGCGGCTATACCATTTCTCCCAATCTTCCCATGTGGCATTTTGACTTGGGCCACCGGGACCTGCCCAACCATGATTTTCACCATGTTTATCACGAGGATCGAGGACTTCGGGCCGTCCATTCCAACCTGCTCCATATGTATCGTATGCACTTCGTTTTATGGGATCTGAAAGTATATCGTTGGCTGCAACAATTAATCTGTATCGCGATAGTTTCGTATCGTAATCCAATCCATCATTTGTGTCGATGCCATGTTTATCTGGATGATAAAGTTTAACCAATTCGTAAAAACGTCGTTTAGAATAGGGAGATCCTTTCTTTTGGTTGAAGATTTGGTAGGGTGTTGGAACCGCATATGCCGATGTCATTTCAGGCCATTGTAATCCTCCATGTTGATTTGCACTTCGTCCGTCGGAGACGATGGCGTATCTTCGTCGTTGTGGAGGAGATTGTGGTTGATGTTTTTGGGATGCGAAGAGGGAATGAGATAGTGACGTCGTTGACGTGCGGGGAAATGCATAATAGCATCGCAAATTACTGCATGATGAAATCAAAATTCCCGACTTCTTGAGCATACTGTAATTGATGCAAAGAGCCAGTATGAGTACTGGCACAATTTGACCATTTCGATTGGGAAGATGAAGGGATGATGGTATTGTATGAGGTTTTGTTCGATTCTAGTATCGATATCGACGCTTTCTCGGAAGCTTGTCTAGATCATTAATCTAAAGTATGGTGACCCTTTCAGACATTTTGCGACGACTTTACAAACCACAATACTTGGTGTATTTTGCACATTGTGAATGTAGACTTGACATCAAA